CCATATTATAAAACGCGGTAATACAAGTTACATGGTTGCTGCCAGTGTTCAAAGAAAGCAGTATGCAAAAATAAAACAACCCAATGGAACTACCTAATCACTTCTTTGGCAAATAACTTATTACACTCTAGCACTCACTAACTACAACTCTAGCTTGCTAATGGCATTGAAAAACTTAATTGTTACGTGTTTCATACCATTTTTTTTTTTTTTTTTGCATTGTCCAACATTACACGTGTTGAGAAATGCTGAAAGATAGGGTATAAGTTCTTACCGTTGATGGTCTTTCCTTCTGCAAAGGTTAAGGACATTCTAGAAAATACCACATACGCTTCTAAATCGGGGCATAAAACTAATCCATGGATCACCATAATCCACTCTTGTCATGGGAAGGTACTAGACTACACATTTATTCTCAAAATAGCAAAGGACTAGAATCCCTTTACGTCCCATTCCCAACGGGTTAAGATTATGCACCCAAATTTCATTCTCATTCCAACATACAACACCCCAACCGAATTCGTTGATTCAATTGAGATTTGATTAGTGAAAACATGCAAGGGACTTGGTTAATCAAACATGTGCGAATCTCGGTCACGTCCACAAAGGCATTTCCCTCTTCTCCACCACCCAAATTATTTCCAAACTCCCACAACCTTCTCCACCCTCCTATCAAAACCAAAAACTTGTTCCGCTCATTCGGATTCCAATCCCAAATCCAACAAAAAAGAAACAATTCTACACCAAAGCATCGCAAAACACCACTCAATTCACTACCCAAAGTCGTTATTTCAATCTCACAATCGTCGGACATGAGTTAGGCTTGGTCAGGATATTGTGTCTGCCTTCTTGCATGGAACTCAATTTTTCTACTCATAAACTAGAGTAGTTTAGAATTTTGTGTTGTTAGAAGAAAATTTCTATTATGATTAAATTCATCATCGTCAACAATTGTGCTTAGGCTTGGCTAAGGTGGCGTGTTTGCCTCCTTACGCCTAATTTTAACCCTGATTAGAGCAATATAGAATATCGCATTGTAAAATCTCATTGTAGTTGATTCATCAAGATCGTTAGCAAAAAGATGCCAAGCAAGCTAAACAAAGCAATTGGGGCAGTGAAGGACCAAACGAGCATAAGCCTACCCAAGGTCTACAACAACAACTCGACCAACCTCGAAGTCACATTCCTCAAAGCCACGTCCCATGACGTCGTCCCCATCGAAGACAATTACATCAATAAATTCTCACGCTCATTACGTCCCACAAGTCGTACGCATCCTCCTGCGCCCAAGCAACCGCCAAGCGCATCGGCAAAACCCGCAACTGGATCGTCGCGCTCAAATCCCTCATGCTCGTCCTCCGCATCTTCCAGGACGGCGACCCCTATTTTCCAATCGAAGTCCTCCACGCCATGAAGCGCGGCGCCAAAATCCTCAACCTCTCCAACTTCCGCGACGACTCCAACTCTTGCCCGTGGGACTACACCGCCTTCGTCCGCACCTTCGCTCTCTACCTCGACGAGCGGCTGGACTGCTTCCTCACCGGGAAGCTCCAGCGGCGGTTCACCTACCAGCGCGACCAGGAATTCAATAACAACCGGAGAAGCCGCCAGTCGAACGAACCTGTCGTCCGCAACATGAAGCCGGCGGTGCTGCTTGATCGAATCCACTACTAGCAGAAACTGCTCGACTAGAGTGATCGACGCGACGCCAACGGGGGCTGCCAAAATGAATCGGTTGGTGTTGATCTCGCTCTACGCGATCGTTCAAGAGACGTATGATCTGTACCGGGACATATCCGATAGCTTAGCTCTGCTTTTAGACAGCTTCTTCCATCTGCAATACCAGTCGTGCGTGAACGCCTTTCACGCCTGCGTGAAAGCCTCGAAGCAATTTGAGGAGCTCGCGTCGTTCTATGCACTCTGTAAGAGCTTGGGGGTCGGGCGGACCTCGGAGTATCCGAGCGTGCAGAAAATTTCGGAAGAGCTTATGGAGACGCTACAGGAGTTTCTGAAGGATCAGGCTTCGTTTCCGGGTCGGTCGCCGCTGACTCATTTGCAAATTGGTTCAGATCAAATGGCAGCGGAGGAGGGTGAGGATAAAGGACTTAGCTTTGAACCGGATGAATTCGCTTCTTCTGAGCAATTCGAGGCGTCGGAGAGAGGTTCTGCTTTTGGTTCGGCTTGTACTTCGTTGGAGGATTTGATGAGTGTTGCCAACCAAAACGGAATGTAAGCCCGTCTTGGTCGGCGGAGCAAGACTTTATAACTCCGAGGAACAACCGAATAAGACCCCGGAGAATGAATCCATCAGACGGGCAAATAGGAATGGATCAACCCAATCCTTGCCGGCTGAGGTTAATCGACCTCAGCCAGCGAGTTTTGAGTTTGGTCTTGTTTCTTTTGACGACTGGCCGCCGCAACGGGATCAAATAAAGAAACAAGAAAAAAGAGTAAACGAAATATTCGAAGTCGGAAATCAAGAGGGTTCGGAACAAGGATGGGAGCTTGTTCTGTTCGAGTCTGCAAGTAATCAACCGCCATTGCAAGCATCATCGCCGCTACCAGCTTCTGCTAATAATTTGTTTGATTCATCAAACTTTGACAGTTTGTTTCAGCAATCTTCAGTGCCCCAACACCAATACAATCCGTTTCTTCAAGACACAATACCAATCGAGAGCTTCGCAACCTCTTCAAGTTCGAATACCGCCACCAGCAATGGCTTTGGAAATTTCGGAGACGATTTGTTTTCTTTCCCTACTACATCTCAAACACCGGCACCAAGATTTTGCATGCAGAATTCCAATGGTGGCACAATAGCGCCAACGTTTCGCACGCAAAATACAAATATACAACGACGGTATCGACATTGCATGCGCATACTACAAATAATACCACAATGGCACCGCCATTTGGCGCGCCAAGTCCAAAAGGGAGCACAATTTCACCAACATTGTGGTCACAGCACACCAGTAAAAGCACAATGTCACCGACATTTGGCGCGCCAAGTCCAGAAGGGAGCACAATTTCACCAACATTGTGGTCACAGCACACCAACGAAAGCAAAATGGCACCAACATTTGGCGCGTGGAGCATGAATGAGTCCACAACAGCGCCAACATTTTGTGCTCGGAGTCCGGTAGAATGGCAGTGGCACCTACATTTAGCGAGCAGAGTATTAATCACACCAAAACAGCACTGCCGGTTTGTACTCAAGAGTCCAAAAGAGAAAACAGCGGCAACACCAACATTTTGGGCACGGGATACAAATGAGGGCGCATATGCACCAACATTTTGCACGGTGACTCATTATAACGAGAGTGTAACACCAACATTTCGTGCTGAAAATCGTAATGACACAATTGTGCACCTACATTTCGTGGTGAAACTCGTAATGACACAATTGTGGCACTTGCACTTCACACAGACGATGCTAATGAGTTTCTGGCTGCACCAACTTTCCTTGCGCGGAGTGAAAACGGGCGGGGTACTATAGAAGATGACCCATTTGCAACGTTCTCAAACGTTAGAAGTAGTAGTGAACCTATGTGTAACGGATCGATGAATCGAGAAAGTATTGTTGCATCAACAAAGACTATGGTTGGAATAGCAAAACAAGATTATTGCTAAACACATGTCTTGACTTGAGATTATTCTGTAAATGCTAGACCTTGAGATTAATTTAAGTCAAATTTAATTATCTTGTAATTAAAATCTTGATCATTCTCTTTGGCAGAGTTGAATGGCAATTAAGAGTTTATAGCATATGCTTCAGAAGCACCTCCAAGAAGCCCGACAACTAGGGACCTAGCGACTTGAATGCTCATAGCCCATAAAAGAAACAAAGCAACCCATGAATCTTGATCTTGACACTTAAGCCTATTAGCCTTGCCTGTTTCAAATGGTTTAGACCGGTTAGACCGCCTAAGCAACTGGCTGGTTCGACAATTTATTGAGATTATGTTACGTTGTTGTCAGATACTTTCCACTGACTATCCATTGACAAGCATATTCACAAATATGTAATTTAGTCTGCGTAGTACCATAAGGTGAACAATATATCGATAGTTGACAACAGATCGATACGCTTCATGATACCGAGCGGTCGGATAGGCCAGATGGTAATCAAGTCGCTTGACCCAAAATTTTATCTCCCAAGAGACCTAGAAAAGTACTAAAATACGTAATTGAATTGGTTAAGAGCATTCCTTTAATATTGCTTTAAATTAACATACGAAAATACACGAAAATAGACAAAGCTAGACAAAAAGACCACACAACAGAATGACAGAAGAAAGAGAGAGGCGTAAAGGCTTTACAGCTAAGTTTTGTGCAGTTGCTTTAAACAGAGAGATAGCAGGATTCACGGGAAAATCTGAGCTCTCCCGGTCTCCCCACTTCCCCCAAAGAGAAAAAAATAAAATTAAAAAAGTCACAAACTTTTCTTCTGGAGCATCAGATGCAAATGCAATTCCGAGGTGAGGGGTAGAGAAAGAGGTGAATGGTGTGATTGGTGGGGGAGGCAAGGGCAAGCAACCGCATGTGAAATTTGAGAAAATGGACCACACATCCCGCCATATGCATCAGTCTTACCATGATTGTCCATTGCCATTGATTCCTCCACATCCCCATCCCATTACCTGCTCAAAAACAAAGACAGAGGTACAATACAAGAAGAAAAATGAAAAATCTAACTTCTCCTAAAAGCTTTGGTCTTTTTGCTTTTGGCTCTACACTTCCACATCCGCATCCATCATCACCATCATCAATATCATCATCACCATCACGCAGAAATGAATCGAAGGGCTAATTTTCATACTACTGCTGAGTATCATATGCTCAGAACATTTTAATCGTTAGATTTTGGTTTTTTTTTTTGTGTTTGACAAAAGATGTAACGATGAAAAATCCGAAACATCCGATACTCTAGAGACCATAGAAAATCCCCGGATAACATCACCATTCACCACAAAGAAAACACACAAAAAGAGTTGCACTCTTTCTTAAGTAACACTCAAGACCCATGTTAAATTCACGTCCATTACAAATATAGCAGAGGTTTCTCTCTAGAACGAGAGCAACTTAAATTAGTACATTATCACCGTGACATTCCATGCCAATGATACAACAAATCCAAGGATCTACATTCTCAAACCGGTGGGTGTAATTAAAAAACACAACCCAACAAAAAAAAAGGAAACATCATAATGAAATGAACCCCTCTTACAGCTTTCACCGAGTGAATCAAGTAATAACATTAAATTACAAAAAAAGGAACAGCAAAACGAGGATACTCCCTAAAAACCGCATCCATGCTCTTTCTTCTTTCTTTACCAATACAATATACTAGGATATTTTAATTAATTAATACATAACATGCTTAATTAGTGCTTGATTTAGTGACAGATAGATAGATAAATAAATAAATATAATATGATACGAGTAATTAAGTAAAAAAAAGTTGGGTATAAGATGTGTGTGTATTTGTTGCTTTGTCCAAGCCACGTAGCTTTCACATTCCCTGGACGGTTAGAAAATCCTCCTCCCTCCTGCTTCCTCCTCCTTCCTCCTCTGTATTTTACCAACAGACAAAATTCAAAATTTGATTTGTCAGCCAATATTCACTAAGCTCACGAGTCATGCAGTTAAAAAATTTATTAGCTGTAAATGTGAAAATTGGACCTTCCAGATGGATTGAAAATATACGACTCTTGGGACTCAACACCTCAGCAGTAAAATTACTACTGGGCCCACTAGGCTCCGTGGGCCACCGCACTTTTTTACAATCTTTCACAATTTTAGGGTGAAGGGTAGAATTGTCATTTGATACTCTAAAGAATATTAAGGTGGTATCCTCGAAGAGAAATCCAGGTTGCCGTGTGAGCATGGCACACGCGGATTGGATAGCAGAATGACACGTCACGGTCAAAGTCGTAAAGCCACAAGTCAAACATCCTAAGGAAAAACAAAAAGTCCAAAACTGACCTTTAGTTTGGCGGGTTTTTTCTCTCCCGGTTAATTACTATTCCCTCCAACTCCGCGAGAAGATGGTCTTCAGCCTACTGCCGGCGAGTCTCTGCAGCGCTTTCTTAGCTCCGGCGACCTCCATTTCCGCCAGTCTCTGCAAATGCGGGTGAGCTCCGGCGGCCACCAGCCTTTTCCGGCAACCACCGCTCCCTCCGCTGAGAACCGCCGCGACCACCGCCACCGGAAACTTGCTGGCCACCATCTCGTGACTCTTGGCGTCCAGCATCTGGACCAGCCTCATCACGCTCTTCTCGTCCCTCACCAGCTCCTTCCGGTTCGACCGGACCGTCAGCAGCGAAACCAGCGATTGGGCCGCCGATTCTTGTAGACCCACCGGTTTTGGCGACTCCATGAGCTTTACCAACGACCCCATACAGCTGCCCAACGCTCGCTTATTCCCATCGCTCACGTTAACCAATAAGTGAGCGAGTAAGGAGGCTGAGATTTGCTGTAGCGTTGTGTTCCCCTGCTTTATGAACTCGCCGAGCTGAATCAGGAAAATCGTCGAAGAAGAGAGGATTTTAGAGCAGGAATCTGAAGCTGAAAGCCATGTGATGGCTCGAGGACGTGTTCCAATGTGTCCGAATTCGGTAAATCTTGAATCAAATGCATTAATCTCTGCAACCCACGTTCTTGAATGATCAAAGCTCGGAAATACTCGTCGGAGGAGGCTAAAATGGCTATGCAATTGGCTGATTTTTCTTGGGCGGTGATGGTGCCGGCGAGCAGTAACTGGATTAGTACAGGGACGGCTCCTTCTTCTCCCAGAGCAGTTTTGATTTCTTCCACATTGACCACATTTCTAATGGCTCCGGCAGCATGGGTTTGGGTCACCGGAGACCCAGATCGGCAGGCTTCGATGAGGACTGAGACGCCACCGTAGGCGGAAACGGCCCAGGCGTTTTCTGGGTCGGCGGTGAGCGCCTCTACCGCCATCGCAGCCTTCTCTTTCAAATGGGTCGACCCGGATTCGAGTATTCTCAGCAGAGGACCCAGACCCCCTTCTTCGAACACTGCCTTGCGCGACGACTCGTCGTCCGCGGTGGCCAGGAGACAGACGGCGAAGATAGCCTGCTCGCGGACGGAAGGCTGGTGGTGGAAATCAAGCAAATGAATCAAATATGCGACATTACCTTCTCTGACGATGAGGCCGGACGACTTGTCGTCGCCGTTGAGGAGCTGAAGGAGCGACTCAAGAGCCTTTTTCTTGAACTCGACGCCGCCGATTTGCAGCCGGGTGAAGAGGTCTCTGATAAAGAAGCCCAAATCCTCTTTATCCGACCCGGGAGCCGGGTGCGACAAAACGATGGCGTTTGACTGGTGGAGGACTCCAGATCTGAGAAGCAAGTCGAGGTCGCGAAGCTGATTGGAGAGGGAAGACGAAGCCATATCGAGGTCGCTCTGCATCAGGAGCTTCCCGCCGGCGAACTCGGCGTCGGTACATTGGTCGGCGAGGGCAGTGAGGCGCTGGAGAGTGGAGAGGAGTTGAGGTAGGAGGGTGTGGAGGAGGGGGTTCTGGGCCCAGTGTGGGGAGTCGGAGATGTCAGCGACGGAGGAGTGGAGAGATGCGAGCTTGGAGTGGATGGCGGTCCAGCGGCCGACGAAGGAGCGGACGGTGAGGGAGGAGCGGAGGAGGAGGGAGAGGGTGGAGTTGATGAGGTCGAGGAGGGTTTGGAGTGGGTTTGCGGCGGCCGCGGCGCGATGCATTTGGGAAGTTGGGGGGGGGGGGGGCGGATTAGAACCGGGTCGGGTTCGGGTCTGTCTCGGGCACCGCTGAACACTGCATGAGAGAAAGAGAGAGAGATGCTTGGAAGTAAAGAAAAATGAGAGGAAGGAGAAAAGTAAAGCGAAGCGATCGAGGGGAGTGTGGGGAAGAGAGCAACAATGGCGGACAATGAAGAGAGAGAGAGAGTGAGGAGAGAGAAACTGAAAAGGAAGTGAGAGGCAGTTTTTTTTTTAAGCTGGATTTTGGGCAACGACTGGAGTGGAGGTTAACTACCGGGACGCGGGTGGGACTCCGAGGGTAATGGGCCTGGGCCAGTGGTGTCCGGCTTTAGTCTGCACTCCCAGTTTTGTTTTTTTTTTTCTTGGAGTTTTTCTCTCGCGTAATTTACGATGATTGTTGACCTTGAGTTTTCGTCTCCATTTTGTCTCCATTTGTGGTTGTGGATGCCAATTGCAATTAGGATGTGTGATGTTTAAACTCCTGATTTATTCAACTAAGAATTTTCTTTTCCAAACATAGTGCTTTTTTATCATATTTGAATAGAAATATTTTTTGAAAAAAAAAAAAAGAACAAAAATATTTACATGTTCTGCAATGATATTGAAAAGAAATTTAGCGTTGGCCTATTTATAACTACCACCATTCAGACTAACAAAAAAGCTACGAAGTGAGAGTAGCGGGTCTGTTGTCCCTAAAATAGTCTTATTTTTCGGCACATGTCATTCATTGAGCTTCAACTTAATCCCCATTAAGTTTTAGTAAATTGAAAAATACATACTGAAAAGAAAAAACAAATAAGCCAAAGAGAGGCTTTGGCGCCGGCGAGTGGGAGTTTGGGGTGGTGCCGATGGCATGGTGGTGGTTGGTTGGTTGTCGGGCGTGGGTGGGTGTCTCGTTGGGTTTTTTTTTTCATTTTTGATTTTATATTTTTATTATTTACTTTTAAATTTATGAAATGTTACCAGAATTTTTTTTATTTTAATTTTAAAATAAACGATATTATATACTCTAAAGAGTGGGGAAGTACGCTAAACCTTATAATGGAAGGGTCATAATAATGTGGTTCAAATTCGTTTTTGGCAGAAATCAAATCTAAGACCTCTCACTTATAAGTGAAGAGAAAAACCACTAAATCACAGTAATAAATAAGAAATCTTAACAAGGTTAAGTTGAAATTAAATGATACGATACAGAATAAGTCGCTCAGTTACACTGATGTGTAGCATAGGAGAACTCTAATGACTTCAGCTATGAAGCCAACTGCCATCCTATCAAGGTTTTAAAAAATGTTAAAAGCTAGTCGGACCTAGCTTAGCATCAATGACATGCGACTTAAATGTGTATTAAACAGCACTTATATGATTTGATGGAAAACAGAATAATCAAAAGGATTTTCGATAGGTATCATATAAAGGCCAACTAGCGAGGTCCATTCAAACCCAATTAGCACGGTCCGAGTCAAAATTTCCAACAAATCAAGGATCCAATTATGGTATGTAGCATTTTCACAATTAAATAATATTTCTTTCTAGTTAATGCCACCAAGTCTCTTGCCTAGGCCTAACATTTTTAATCCGATTTGACCCGTTAAAATTAGAATTTGGGTGAGTGATAAATGGGTCGGGTGGTTAATAGGATCAACCCGTTAATCACTCGTTAAATACCAGATCATTTTAGGTGAACCTGAAAAATCCGTTAACACTCATTATTAAGGACTTTTGTGTAATTTCAATAGTCCTAATAGAAAAACCTTAGGTCCCTTACAACTCTTTCTCGCGCACGCATTGCTCTAGATTTATGTGCTCCTTCCCTTCTAGCTTCGGTTATCTCCCTCATCTTACCAGTAAGTTGTCTGCGATCTCATAAACTTCACAGTGCAAATTAGGGGTGGAAAAAATTCCCGAAAATCCCGAACCAAACCGAAAAAATCCCGATCCCAAACCAAAAATTTCCAAACCGAAATTCCCGAAATTTTCGGGATGCTATCCCAAACCAATCCCAAAATTTCGGTATGGGATTCGGGATTGGCTTCTCGATATTTCGGGAATCCCATACCAAACCGAAATATATAATATTAATTATTATTTTATATATATATATATATATATTTATACATATATATATTATTCTTTTATAATTGATGCTAGTAGTTTCTAATTTATACTCGGCAACCTGGAATGCCTTACACCTTGCATATTTTTCATATTCTGTTTGATATTCATGCGGATATTATTATTGCTGCTACTAAGGCTGATGATTTCAGAATGCTTGATTCTTTTGTCTCTCAACAGATTGCAAAAAGGGTTTAATTAATTTGAATTTTGACTATGATAAAAATAGTCAAGCATGCTAGTGTTCAATTAAATGGTAGTGTGAATGAAATGAAATTCCTAGTTCATGAATGTGTTCTTGAATTATATATTTGAAGAACAATTCATAATTTCATATTTCAATTTGGGATTCCCGATTTGTCCAAAATCCGAAAATATTTCGGGATTCCGAAAATTTGGTTTAGGATTGGTCTTCAAATTCCCGTTCCGAATATTTTCGGTTTGGGATTCGGGATACTAGTTTCGGTATGGTATCCCCATACCGAACCACCCCTCGTGCAAATTAACAATCCAAACAAAGCTTGGAACTTTAAATTTTCATTTTCTGTTAATTTCCTAGAGAGAGAGGGGGGAGTACTCGGCAGGGTTTGTATAAGTGGTGGGATTGGGTTTCAAAATCGATTGACGGAGCTGAAGAGGAAGAGTCAGGTAGCTGAATTTGGAGCAGCCGACGCTATGCAGTTTGTACGGACTGCACCGATTTGTCTCTCTCTCTTAAACCAGAAGACAGCTTTCTGTTTCTCTTCAGGTTTCTTTCATCAAGCTCAGCAAAAAGCAGTGGAGTCATTTTGCAGATTGGATGGAATGTAAAAAGAAAAAAAAAATTGTTAACGGTGAAACGAGTGATTCGTTAGCTTAACGGGTTGTATTCGGATGATCCGTTAACTTAACGGATTGAGTTTGAGTGATCCGTTAACTTAACGGATCGGGTTAAATCTGATCCAAACTCAATAAACCCGATTCTGTTTACAGGTATACTCTTGCCCCATCCCCTCCCGATCCTCATGTGAGAATCATACAGATTAATCAATTATAGTCGTTCATGATATATTCTGCAATCATAAATTATTGAATTTTTAGTTCTTTCTTCATGGAATAATGATTTTCAACCATATGATGTGTGGTGAACAGTTATAAATGATTGATCTCTAAGAATCCTCACAATGAGAATTCGGAGAGAATCCAGATTCCAAATTAGGGATGGGTTGAACCATCTGGGTGAGGGGAGTGAGTCAAAGGTGTCCTAAAGCTTAGACTATTTGTTTGTGGCAAATAATCATGGGAAAATGAGGTACATATAATTTAATTATCTACTAAAGATTATAGGTGTGCTAAACTACCTTCTTATCAAGTGATATTTCTCTGTTTCAAATTCGAATTCCTCGCTAATGATCATTTTGTGTAGAGGCGTTGAATCTCTGTTTTATTAGAGAAAGTTATGTGTTGAAGTCTCATGGTGCGTAGTTGTCGAATACGAAGAGTGTCAGTCCTCTCCTCGATCTATTGGAGGAAGTTATCATTGTCATTCAATGATCGTTTTAAGTGTTTAAAAAAGCATGGTCAATCATTAAATTTAGCAATGCATGTCATATATAGATATATGCTAAACTTTTTGTAATAAAAATAAATTGTAATACATAGACATCAATTGAACACGTATTTGATAAGGAAGCTATCCTCTCCAAACCTTGGTGTCCACAGCATAAGGATCAAGAAATCTGAGCATTTGGTTCGTGTGAAAGAGAAATCGAAACCCTTAATTTGTTTAAGGTGAGTCAGCGGAATAAATTAATGAGGACCTTCAGATTCAATTTGAGTGGTCTGACTTACGTGATCCTTAGACTTCGGACGGTGAAATTCAGAGTGAATCTTGTCCTCCCTTGTAAACTTTGAATAAAAACTCAATACAACAGAATACCACTTATGTTTTTTGTTACTCTTAACTATTTCAATGTACAAGAATGATGATTCAAATTCGAGTATGATGAGTTAGGCATGCTATTTTTATAATATGACTTAACTCGCATTTGTCATTGCTTCAATGTATAAAAATGAGAAATCGAATTAATAAACAAGAAGTCGAGCACACTATCATGACGAATTGACTTAAGCAAAATTTACCACACGTAGGTAATTATTGTGAAACATTTTGGTCACAAGAAACCGAAAAAAGCAAGCCAAATCAAGGAATTGGGGAAAAAAAAAAAGAAACAGTTCTTCAGGTAGATTGCGGAGGCCGCCCTTGTTTGGTCTCTAAAACCCTCCTTATACCCCTTTCTTCCACCACGATCAACACAAAGTGAGTGAGCTTCACAAATCTCAGAAAATGGTGAACAAACCATGGAAGATCATCCCCCGGCCTTTGCTAGAAACCGTGCTCAACAACCACGCCCAGCACCACCGCGTCCCTCAGCCTCTGATCCTCCACGGCCCCAGAGGCGTCGGCAAAACCACCCTCATCCGCGAACGTAATCACCCTTTTACTCTCTCTCTCTCTCTCTCTCTCTCTCTCTCTAGATTCTAACACTTTGTCTTTCTCCAGGTTTGCTTGGGGAGTGGAACAAAGGCCCTCACCTCACCGGCTACGTCGACTTCGCCGAGTCCATCAAAGACCACCATCCGCGGTTCAATCAGTCGTTTCCATGGGCTTCATGGTACAATTGCCCCCCGCCCACTTTGCCCAATTGCCGAACCAAGCTCGAAAACTGCCTCGAATCCATGGCTTACAAGGGCGTCCAGCTGGGTTCCATCAGCTCCCATCAAATCTTCTCCACTCTCAGCAAATGGCACGGTCTTAACACCGCCCTCCGACGCGTTATTTCCGGAAATGGTGCTTCCAAAAATGCGGTTTCTGAGAAAGTTTCTGGGTCGGTTTTGTGGGATCGGGCGGTGTTCGCGCTAAGTGCTCGATGTAATGTCCAAGAGATTGATGGGATTTTGGGTTTGACCGAGAAGAAGAAGAATGTTCCGTTAGAAGAGGCTTCGTATTATAGGGAGGCCGTTGTGGCATTGAGATTGGCAAAGGAGGTGATTAAGCAGCAGCAAAGCTGGAGGGCTAATGCAATTGCACATTTGAATCGGACCGGTGGCTTTTCGAGGTCTTTGGCAAATTCTATTACTGATTGGCCTTGTTTGTTGTTGGAGTTGTTGTCACAAGCAGCTGAAATTGATCATTTCCAGGTAATAAAGTTCACATTTTTCGGTAGTGGAATTAATCGTAAGCTATGTTCAGCATACAAGGCTTTGTTCTTAAGTTCCAATCATGCTTTAAATTAGGTGTGTAAATTTGAGGACTTTGATTAGTGTTGTGTTATATGAATCTCCAATTGACTGACGGTTGTTATTATATGGAGCAGCCTAAGCTGGTTATTAACAATGTCGAAGTTTTAAAGAATGCGATTCTGTTGGATGAGAATTCATCAGTCTGTGGATCCATGTACCATGACAGTCTAATATGGAGAATAATTGCTTTAGGTGCAAATGAGAGATGCTTTCCTGTTGTACTCGTGACATCGGATAGGTGAGAATCATTTCTAGCCATTTGTGTTTCTTTAACATCATATCACTTGTACAGTTTTACGTCACAGGTTGATAATTAACCTTTTAAACTTCTGCAACTGCCCACTTTTCAAGTTATTTTCTTGCTTGTTTGAATTCTAATTTATGTTGCTTTGTTTCAGTTACTATTCATATCAAGCTTACATGGATTTTGGATTTCCGGACATATTCATCTCTCGTGAGGTATTTAAACTGAGATTCTACATGTGTTTGCATCTGCCTTTACTTCATTGACCAAAAGGAACAAACACTAACTATTCTTTTCAGCTGTTGACATACTAATACCTTAAGCGTGAATCATGAAGCATGGGAACATTTGTTGAGTGACTTGCATCATGTTCAATTCCTTATTTTTTGGGACGTGGTCTACTAGATTTGAGTTTTTGTTTTTTAAATTGTATCTGCTACATTTTGTGCGTGGGTATGAGTCCGTAGTGTGTTCTTGCCTTGTATGAGCTTATCATGTGACTGTTCCTCTCACAACCCATTGAAAATGTTGAGCCCCCTGCCAGGCACGACACAACTTAGACTGTCATGTCATTGCAGACTGTCATGTCATTGCGGGGCCTGTTCTAGAAGTATCATATTCAAGTTGGGAATATTGTGAGGATGCTGGGGGTTATCATGGGTTTAAACTTGGTTTGTTCTGCAGGCTTTTGGCTGGAGTCCCCAGGAAGCTAAGTTGCATATGATTACTGATTATTTCAGTAATTCAGAGGTAATACGCTTCTCTAATTTTGAATAAACATACTTTGAAGTACAGTAAAATTGGGCAGGGGAAAATTAAAATCCATCGGTTTTCCTACTAATTCTGAAATTAGGTCCATCAGATTTCCTAATGATTCTTCATTTTCTTGCCATATTTTTTTTCTTTATATCCCAAAATGCTGGACATTTTCGTGACCTTTAGCATTATTTTTGTCAAAATTCAGTGGTCAATGATTGCTGAGGTGTTTGGCCCAAACCCACGACACCTATTTGAGCTCTATGCACTCAAGCAGGCCAATTACTATCAACAGTAAGGCTGATATTTATATTTTTTTTTACCATATCATATCATGTAGATATATGCCACATGAACTAGAAGCTGAACACGTAAGTGATGTGCATCACCTCTTAGTTATAACTTCAACTATGTGCAGATAACTCTTTCATCTTTGACACACATTTTCATCAGTCACAGTTGAAATCAAGTAATATAACTTTGTCATAAAAAGGGAAGTGTAAGGGCAAAGGCAATATCTATGTCTACTTCACCAATCAACCTGTCCCTAATTTTTCCAAGATTGATGCTACATGGTTAATCACTACTATATTTGTATGTAGTTTTAAATAGTACATAAATACCGTTTTTGTTCATCTGAAGGTTAGAAGACAACAAAGATAGCACGTTTGAAGACATTGTGGATTCATATTTAGCTTATTTGCAAGTAAGTTTTTTTGGAGCATGATGCATCATACTCATTATCCTTGTAATTTCATGAACCTTTGTTGTCCTATTTACATTTTGGTTCATTGATAAGTGTATGGAAGTCTCATGATTTATTACTTGCAAATTCACCTTGTTGGAATTTCAGTTCACTTCATCATATTCTTGATTTCCTAGAGTAATGTACGCACTAACTTGGCCTGTTAACAACCGTGGTTTATTTTATAATTCTTTGTTCACCTTGTGCTGCCTTACTTGCTATTCAAGTCTATTCATTTAGATTACTGTAGTGAATCCGGCCATGGACAAAGCTCTGGGGCTCCTTCAAAAGTTTGCTGCTGATGCACGAAGTGGAAAAATTTCAAAAGATAGACTACGCTTTGGGGCACCTTGGAGACATCCTCCACCTAAAAATGATCCCACCATGTGCCTTGAATGGGCAAAGATTCAGCTGATGGATTTTGTGCAGTCTCTAATCAATACAGAATTTGGAGTACGTAGTCCATGGTTTCTTGTTTTATTTTTGTCTTGGTACAACTACTAGTTATGCGCTTGGAACAATTAGCTGAATATATCGGTAAAAATTTGTGTTAACCATTTGCTATGTGCTGGGTGCACTATGTTCTTACGTATTTCTTATGGCTTAGACTTCATTTATCAGATCTATAATACTCTATGTGCTGGGTGCACTATGTTCTTTCGTATTTCTTATGGCTTAGACTTCATTTATCAGATCTATAATACTGTTTTCAAGAACTTTTTACTTGGGTGCAGATTAATTATCTAGCTGACTGTAGCCTTGAGATCATGGACGATCCTTCTGCTGGTGCATTGGTGGAGGTAGATACGTCTCTTCAATTTCATTCATTTGCAGATAGATATGCATTGCAATATTAATATTTAGCTCATGCATTTCTTATCATTTCTTAGGTTGGTTTGCTGTATGCTCAACGGGATCCGTCCATCATTCGCCCCATATCTAGAGGCATTCAGCGGTGTATTGTAAGATGGTAAGCTAATGTTCTTGAACTGAAGGTACTAGAACATGATCATGAAGCTCTGTCTGGTCAGTTATGCAGTTATTTAATTTCAGGCTTGTCCAAGAACGGATGCAGATGAGTTTCCCTAAGTTTCTACGATATAAATGGCAGCGTATAATGCGTGGCCGGAGCTATCGCCATTTGATGCTACAAGTAGGCTATAAGTAGAGCATAAGAGAGGTAAACGGTCTAAATACTAAAATTGTTGTTTATTCAAATTCCGTGTCATGGTAAATTTTAGTTTGTCAGCTTTACAACTCGAGGAGATGAGCCTAACAAGATTATCTGATTGACTTTTTCAGCTGTCTCTAGGCAAACACACCTTTTAATTTGGGAGTAGCCCCTGCTTCGGGTTCGCATAAATATGTAAGTAATTCCTGAGAGGCAGCACAACCACACTTACACACTGGCAGCACTATTTGTTAAACATTGTTGTAGTTAAGCATGGTTTTCTGCATAGCACCATTTGTTAAAACATTGTTGTAGTTAAGCATGGTTTTCTGCATTGTAATCCCTTTGCATATTCCTGCTGTAATACATTCCTCTATAGTTATATACCTCCATTATCAGGATTCTTTTGCTTCTTTCGATTCCCCCTTGACAACAAATACGTTGAGACTTTGTTTTTCCCAAGTTTTTACAGAGCGCGGACACTGGTAAAATCTTCAAAAGCTGATTTCAAGGAAAGTTGGTGTCTAGTAAGAATCTCCTTCTCATGCTAATCACAACTATTTCTATGTCACTCTGATTGAATAATGAAAACAAGTCTAAGTGTAATGAATTTAGGCACTCGTTTGGAAGTGCTTTAAAATGGCTGAAAGCGGTTTTAGTGAAAAGGTTTTTGGAACCAATCCTTAGTAAAACACAAGTGAATCCTGGAAAAGCACTTGAAGTGCTTTTGGAACCCAAAAACAATTTCTTTTAAAGTGCCTTTTAATTGTTTTAAAAGTACTTCCAAACGAGCCATTAGGCTTTGTTAGCATAAAACATGGCATAGTCATTCGTTGCTTGTCTCTCTCTTTACCATTCTGTGTCGGCATAACCATAACTCTAAGCTTCTTCATGTGTAGGATATGCTATGGAGCAACCCTTTGTCAAAGATTTGATTTTTGAAGACTACCAGCAGAAAATTTTGATATTTGGAGATGTGTAGAGCATCGCTTGAAGTTGAGTATACGGACCAGCATTCTCATGATTCATATTTTTTTTAAACAAAAATAAATAGCAAAGAATAGATAGAGCTCCACTGTATGTTTTATGTCACACGTTCATGAGGAAATTGGTTCTAGTTTTTATCGAACTCACCATTTACGAGATTCGAACCTGAAACTTTCACTTACAAGTGAAGAAGATGTCACTAGATTGTATTACTAAGAAACAATGCAATAATTTATGCTTCTATCTATTCATCTCTTTGGTCCAAAATAACAAGGTCCAACATCTTGTCAGCTCAGCTCATTGAGGTTAGGCCGACGTAGAGACTAACTCATTGAACCCTCATTTTGTATGGGCTTACATTTGCGAGAAGTTCTTTAGTGCGGTCGCCTCAGAACAATCGTAAGGGGGTGAAACCTTGGACCCTTGTTGACGAGGTCTCACTCCCTGCTAAATGTGCTACCTGCCGCGGCAGCCTCAGCACAAAATTTCTCTTCATTTACACTTCGGCTAGGATTTCATTTCTTTAATTTATCTTGTCACCAAAATAAATCATTATACTAAAATCAAAATTCAATTTTACGTGTGCATGGGTTCAAGATCAAATTAATGCATACTTTATTTTTTTTGGAAATTGTATTTGAACCTATTTACCTTGTCTCTACACTCAACTTAAAAACTAACTTAGTAAAATTCCAACTTTGCCTGAAAAAAACTAACAATTAGAACTTGTAGATGGCTCCCGCAACCATCGGGGAAACCACAAAGGAATGGTGGTTTTCACGCTACCCACCAAAACAAGACACTCCTACTTTTTCCTAGTGAACACAATCGAAGCCCCGACGAATTCAATCAATCCTCTCATCTCTCTCTCTCTCTCTCTCTCTCTCTCTCTCTGTGAACTTGGATCAAATCAATCGGGAAAGAGAGAGGCGGATGTGAATATCTATATATGAGAGGGCAAAAATGGTGAATCATTCATAATATCAAATTTTGCACTTTCTTTAACCAGTTTTCCAAAATATTAAAATTGATTAGTTAGGGTTAAAATTGATTAGTGTGTGGTTACTTTCATTTGTTATTTTTAATAAAAAAATAGAACCCCAAAAAAAAAAAAAAAAAAAAAAAGAAAAGAAGATTTATTTTTAATAACATAAAAGGTCAATTGATACATGTATAAGTGTGTGACACTGTGTGAAGAGGTTAGTTGGTGTTAAAAGGAGAAAGGTACAGAGCCATATTCGATGCTGTTGCTCGGAACCGATAGAGTATAGTGCTTTATTTTCTTCTCAAGGTCAGAAAAGGAAGGAGGAGAAACATAAGGAAAAGAATGGAAGGAGCTAACAGTTGTCGACGATGTTTGGTTTTGGTTCGCTGGAAAAAATGAAAAGGAGAAATTGTGTGGTGGTTTTAGGTTATTGGGTGTGTAGAGAGAAAAACACCCATCTTTGTTTACTTTTTCTTATTTATTAAGAGCAAAATTGAGAGGTTAGTGGAGAAAATTGTTTAGTTGCATGTAGGGATAAAATAAATGGGTCCAAATATTTTTTTTTTTAAGACAATATAAGTTCAACTTAAGAACAATTGCATGAGGAAAATTACTAGACCAAACACAAAGCTAATTATAATTGTGCGAAATTATATTATATGTAGCTTCTCAAAAAAAAAAAAAATCGTTTTTAATGCATAAAGTTGGTTGTATGTAAAAAATTCATGGAAAGATTTTAGAATCCCATTCAACATATTCCACCCTGAAATTTGATTATGCAAAACGTGACCTTATTACCAGTCATATGTTTGATTAAATCTTGAAGAAAATTCATCAAGGATTACAAATCAAATATTGTTCATCTAACTCCACCCACATTGTGAATCAATCTCCATCGTCCATTCACAAGTTCAAACTTTATTGGCGCATTGGAACTGTTTGGTCCCTACGAAAATTGAACCTTATTTTGTCCCGGTGACCATTGGCACATTAGTCACACATCAAACCCACGACCCAAAAGAGCCAAAGTCATTTGCTTTGCTTGATTCTGTCTCAATAGACGTCAATTTCACACGAAGTTTGCAGGAAAGCTCCCCAAGAATGTATTCGACATTTCTGTGATTGTCAAGTAAACTAGTGATCATTTTAAACAAATTGGAATTGAAAGAATTGGGGCAGATACATTGCAGACAGCCACCTTTTCTTCTTTGTGGTTGGACATAAATCGATCTAATCTAATCTATGCTCTATGATACTCACCACAGAAAGATTTCCAGTCTTTGTAAGTTGACCAGCTTCTATATGCAATGCGTGCTTCTTTTTTAGTATATATTCCCCGATGATATCAATATCACTATCAGTTCAATGAAATCCATATATAATTTGGCTTCTTATATCCACATCTTTCACCTTTTATCCACGATCTTGTACCTTTTTTCTCATTTTTTAGCCAATTAGATTGTATAAATTAAAGAAAAATCAAATATTACATAACTAAACAGACGAGGGCAAAAGGTCAAATAGAAGTACGAGACTCACTTTTCTTAATTTAATTCACCATGTGATTAAACTATTATTGTCATAGATAGGGAAAATAGTCTACACAAATCAGTTAGTATGGCACGATTTGGTGCAGTCATGGTTAATACTCAATACCCTAGTTGGTCAAAATTCAATAGTCAAAGCCACCCATTATTTTTCCCTTTTTTTCCTTTTCTTAAGACCTAACAAGCCAGAAGTACATATATTATTTAAGTATATAGCCAATAGCCACCCATGCATATGTAAAACACTAGTAAAAATAAATAGAAAAATTGACTATTATTGATATCACATGCTCTCACGAACCCTAGAATTTGTTAAGTATGATAACTAGCCCTTCATATTAGAAAATGTTCTTGTACAATGAATTTTCCTTCGTTGATGCAACATGTGTTACGTATGTAGGTGCAGGGGTAAAGTTAAAAAGTTAGATTATCTGGGGCACAATTAAGCAGTGGTGGATGTAGATCCTCGTAGAACCCCAAAGGCAGCAGGCGAAGCGCCAAAATTTTTTTCAAGTTGTTTTAAGTGAGACATTTTATCGAGAACTTGTATAACCAGTACTCATTGTATACTTAGCCTACATCCCCATCCTTTTTTGCCATTTTAATTGTATCTTTAGATCAATATTGGTATAGTCCACAAAGAGATAAATCACATAGACTTTACTCCAATTTCTTCTTTGTGGACTATAACACTATTGATCTAAAGATACAATTAAAATGGCAAAAAGGATTAGGACTGAGTGATACAATTCGTGGTGGTGGTGAGTTAATTATTATTCACCATAATTCGACTCGACGTCATACCAAGCATGGAAGGAAGCTGCAATTTAACAGGGCTTTGGTTCCTGCTCAAACCACTTTTTAAGGACAACAACACAGGTGGGGCCACGTGCCCCTTGTGGCCCTTAATAAGATTTCCCACGTTTGAAAACCGCTATAGAGCCGATAACCTTTTCATTTATTTGCAACACGCAAGTTTTGTAGAGATTTCCCAACGTGATCACGTTCATAGCTCCTGTGAGAGAGTCAGATATACAAATTTACAGAATTAAAACTGAGAAGAGAGTGAAAATTTGAGACCTCTTCTGACACCGAAAAGAAAAGCGTTGGTAAGTTTCACGAAGATGAGGAAGACGTGACTAAACAGAGAATGGCTAATTAGGTCAAGCAAAACTACCACGTAGGGAAATAGTTTAGCAGTGATTGAGTGTGATATAGCGTGACCTTCGGATCGAGTTTTTTCGCACATTAATTTAATTACCAGTTAATAGTCAATAGTCATAGTTTTGAACCAGGAATTAGATTCCCAAAATTTCTTACTCCATTTCCAAATGTCATAATTAGGTTCAAGTTCAAGTCTGAAACGTCTACTTTTAAACTAGCTAGCTGATTAAAATTTAAAACCTAGAAAAATAAAACTCAAAGTTACAGGAGCAGATTAAGGATTGAAAAGTGAAAGAAAAAAAAATTACATAGATGTCGAGAATGCTAAATAAAATAAGAATAACCCTAAGAAAATAGCACCGTTGCAATTATTTCTTTGTTATTGATCATTTTGATATGTTATTGATACTCTAATTAACATAAATTAATATAAATATGTTATCGATACTATTTGATAACATAACACTACAAGAAATGTTTGTAATAATGTTGTGCAAAATGAAATTACTAAAGCATTTAGGGGTGTATAAGCCTTTACCATAATAATATTGTGTATACGTTGCCAATTTTCTACCGAAATTTTTTTTCTTTTTGACAAATGCTACAGTAGTAGTGCTAATTGAAAGCTTTTCCAATACTCAAAACACCTTAAATCTGTCGTGTCGGCCATCCACAACTTGCAATTTTATACCTAATTATCCATGCAATTAGTGTACAGAGGAAAGGGTCTCTGTCCATTGTCCAACATTAAAGTCCAATTATTTACATCGCAGCCACTAAAATGATTAATGTTCCGAAAGCAAGGTGCGATATCTTCTCCATACATCTTCACGTTTTGGTTTAGCTCTTCGGATCTGTCCCTATCCTATTGCAAATTTGTACATGAATTAAAAGAAATCCAATAAGTTGAAAAATCTCATTCCACAAGTAGAAGCTTCCAAATTAATTTTCATAGTGAACAGGACCTGCAGAAGATGCACAAAGAACTCACGAACAATGTGGTGGGATAGGAGCCACATTTTTCATCAGTCAATCGATCATAGCACTTGCTGTTGCGACCAATTATCAATATGCATGGCATGTGCAATGCTTTCCAAATGGGCTTGTTTTGTTGTGTCCGAATGCGGTTTGAAGCAAAACATTACTATGTCCCATTGAGGGCCATAGCATTTACCGACCATTCACGTAGGATTGCTTCTCATAAACTATTACTTTGATTACTTTACACTTTATATAAGTAGTAAGAGATAATATTATATTTGGATAGTACCATGATCATGGGCGCATTGGATTGTGAAGGGAGCCTAATTAAAGGGGCTTCCCAAGCTTACAAGGATCACTCAATCTGTCTTCCACTAGCTATATACCTACTAAGTTTACTTACAAAAAAAACACATCAAGTGATGAAAAAACCAAAAGAAAAAGAAGCTATATATTTATATTTAAAACCGGTGTCAAAGTTGCTTTAGAAACTCAGTTTTAACAACTGAAAGAAACCCTAGACAGCTATTTATAGAAGACGAATAAAAAATTACCTCAGAGCCATGCATGACAGATTATGGTTAATATCA